CTGAGACTGACCAAAATCCCAAAGGGGGACCAAATCTCAACATGACTTCACTTTATTAGGTATTATGACACCGAACTAGTCCGTCATGCAGACTCCAAAACAAGTATATTCAAGTAATCCCATGCAAGTCCATAATAGTTGAGGTCTTGATAACTGCAGTTTCAGGTCTGAAATGAGGAAACTCTCAAGGCCTCTTTGTATTATGTTATATTTATATAATTTAAGTACTATTTTACTGTAAAATATGTTCATTTCATTGACTACATGTTAGTCGAACACCGAGCCTGACAACCGTCCCAAAAAACAAAACAAAATATCGAGATGTGGCATCTCTGAATAAGATATTATGACACCGAACCGAACCATCCCATGCATGTGTTGACCCACATTTCCACAGGGTGCATCTCTGTATTAGGCCTGATATTGCACCAATTATGACCACCATCCCAAGTGTTGACCCGGAACCCTTCACGTTACATCCCTGCATTAGGCATGAATGCACCGAGCCTGACGGTCATCACAAATATTCACCCAAAACCTCCACATGCGACAACACTGTATTGATCATTAGGACACCGAGTCTGACCACCATCCCAAATTAGGACAAAACACTTTGTATTTTAGTATAAGGTAATATGACTGTGAAGCATGGCATCTCCGAAGACTCTTACCACTAGAGAGGAATAATGGGTGTATTTCGTACTGGAGGCCCCTTGAAAAAGCTTGTTGTATATGTGTACGGTGATTTAAACGAGGAGGAATTCACTTGAAGAAATTTCAGCGAGGTTCTATTTTTGGCAATGTTTCCAATCACCAAACGCTCTTGAAAATTTAATTTCGAAGGTTCTTCAAACACATGAAAAGGACATAAAAGATGTTTTGTGACCCTATACGAAAAGCTGATTTTCCTAAATGTACGATGCCTTGGTTCGGTGTGGAAATTTCTATCCCTACATCAGACAAAAGCCATTGAGTAATTAGGGTTTCAGGATCTGTGTGACAAATTGGAGCAAATCACGGTGGAGTCCCAAGCAGCAACGCTTAATTCAATAAATAATACCATCGTAAACGGCTGAAATACCACTAAAGCCCAACTGTATAGATCACTGACTGAAGAACCAAAGTAATTCACAAGACTGCACTTTACCGGTAATAAATCCCCCTGACACGATGAAAAATGAGTTCACATTTACAAATCTTAATTAAAGTTGCTGTGAGAGAAGTCGGTCACACGATGACTTGGATCTAACATAACAAATTTCAAATAAAATCATGGAACTATAATACCACAGACATCAGTCTTGAAGAAACTATTGGGATTGTTCTCGCTACAATAGAGATAAATTGACTAGAAATTTGATTAGATGAACGCGATGATGAACGGGCATTGTACAAGTGGTGTTACGTATACTCCTTCTGACGTTGAGCCAAGATGAAGTTGTGAACGTAAATTACATCGTAGCATCTTTCACCAGCATCCATTTGATGTAATTTCCCGTTCAACATCCAGTATCAATGATGGTAAATGTTACTTTGTACCAACCCGTGAAGATCCGGGTTGGAATTGGTCTTCAGCATCCATGCTTGTCGCAAGAGGCGACTAGCGGGATTAGGTGGTCAGGCTCGCTGACTTTGTTGATACATGTCATCGTATCCCAATTGTGTAGATTGATGCTCATGTTGTTGATCACTAGATTGTCTGGTCCAGACTCGATTATTTACAGACCGACGCCATATAACTGGAATATTGCTGAGTGCGTCGTTAAACAACAACCGACCAAACTAACCAACTTTGTACCATCCAACTTCCTGGTAAATAAAACGCTGTACCACTTATGCGATGAATTCCTTGTCCCACAGACATTATCACGACCTGAAAATTTCACGTTGTACCATCTTACCCCATGATTCATATAGTTTCACGTATTCTTTGGTCTATGTCTTGCATCTTATAAGAGTTGGTAAATATTACGTTAAATCATCTTCAACTAGCATCAAGTGTCAGGATGTGGTGAATTAATGTTATGTGGTAACATCTTCCCCCAGCATGCAGATGGTGTGTGACATATTCCGCATATTACGTTGTATCATCTTCACGCGACACTAATGTGGTGTGACATATTCCCCGTTCTGTATAAAGAGATTTGTTATATTACGTTGTACCACCTTCATCCAACATCCAGATGATGTGACAAATTCCCCGTTCCATACGAGGAACTATGGGATATCACTTTGTACCACCTTCATGCAACATCCAGATGATGTGACAAATTCCCCGTTCCATACAAGGAACTATGGGATATCACGTTGTACCACCTTCATGTAACATCCAAATGATGTGACAAATTCCCGTTCCATACAAGGAACTATGGGATATTACGGTGTATCACCTTCATGCAACATCCAGATGGTGTGACAAATTCCCGTTCCATACGAGGAACTATGGGATATTACGTTGTACCACCTTCATGCAACATCCATATGGTGTGACAAATTCCCGTTCCATACAAGGAACTATGGGATATTACGTTGTACCACCTTCATGAAACATCCATATGGTGTGACAAATTCCCGTTCCATACAAGGAACTATGGGATATTACGTTGTATCACCTTCATGAAACATCCAGATGGTGTGACAAATTCCCGTTCCATACGAGGAACTATGGGATATTACGTTGTACCACCTTCATGAAACATCCAGATGATGTGACAAATTCCCGTTCCATACGAGGAACTATGGGATATTACGTTGTACCACCTTCATGAAACATCCAGATGATGTGACAAATCACCCCCGTTCCATACAAGGAACTATGGGATATTACGTTGTACCACCTTCATGAAACATCCAGATGATGTGACAAATTCCCGTTCCATACGAGGAACTATGGGATATCACTTTGTACCACCTTCATGTAACATCCAAATGATGTGACAAATTCCCCGTTCCATACAAGGAACTATGGGATATTACGGTGTACCACCTTCATGCAACATCCAGATGATGTGACAAATTCCCGTTCCATACGTGGAACTATGGGATATTACGGTGTACCAACTTCATGCAACAACCAGATGGTGTGACAAATTCCCGTTCCATACGAGGAACTATATTTAATGTTGTACCACCTTCATGCAACATCCAGACGATGTGACAAATTCCCTTTCCCACAGTCAGTGTCAGGAGGTTGAACTATTACGTTGCAAAAAGTTCAACTGCCATCCATATGGTGTGAAATGTTCGCCGTTCCACATCCAGTAGCCTGACCTGGTAAATATTCACTTTGCCAATTCCTGGAGGCTGAACTGGAACTGCGTTTCATTCATAGAAGAAAAAAATATTTCGATCTGTCCGTTCTAGGAAAATATTTTCTTGACACATCCAGATTTGGTGGTTTCGAGATGAGGCGGTACCACTCGCCGACACGTACGGTCAGACGTGAATTTTGTGTTAATCCTCCCCCAAATCGGCGATCGTGCCAGGCAGAGGGAAAACCTCACATTTTAATTCTGCCACCATCTTGTATGCGACATCGGGAGCTGGCACTAAGAAATTGACACCAGTCTCGTAGTAATTTGAATCTGATTGCATTGATCTCCACCGCTTCTTCCTCAAATGGAATTGAGCTTGATGCGATACACTGATTTAGATTGATGTCTAAATGATTACAGACAGCGGCTACTATCTCGTAGAGTTATCTCCCTTCTCCTGGATGACCTCTTCGTTTTGGAACTCCTTCAACTGGGATGAAGAAACGTACGCAGGTGTGACGTCAATAGGATTGTTGTGTTGTGGTGAAGTGTTTTTGGTACGGAAACGGCTGTTCTGAAAATCAGTTGTGCTTTTCAAACAGATTTTTTTTATATACCGACATGTATATGCACTGACGGACTGAGTACGTGTGTACTGACAGTTATATCTTTGAAATGTTTGTATTTGGTTTAACAACGTTGTTTTCAATACTCAAATCAAAACCTCATGATAACCCAAAGAATGTCTATATGTTGTCAGGGTGGTCCGTTGATTCCAGAGGCTAAAATGCCTGTAAAGTGAAACAATACACTTGATAAGGGCATACATTATTGTTGTGTTTCACGTAGCCATCAAATTCTAAACATGGGCCGGTCGGGAAAAAAACAAACAAACACAAAAACAAACGTAATAAAGACAAAATTAGCTGAATAATGTTCTTGATTCTCATTTATTGTAATTCTTATTACAATTTCTCGCGTTGTTTGGATTTGTGGCAGCGACTGATTAAAGTATAAACATTTTATATGACGAGGCGGTACGTTTCAGGTTCGAGCCGGCAGTGTTGGAATGAAAAAAAGTTGTTGGTTTTTGGGGTGGTTTTGGGGGTTTTTTGGTGGTGTTTTGTGTGTTTTTGCTTTTGTTTTCTGTTTTGTTTTGTGTTTTTTGTTTGTTTGTTTTGTGTTGTTGTTTTTGTTGTTTTTGTGTGTGTGTTTTTTTGGGGGGGGAGTAAGCAATAAAATTAGTAGGGTCCGGCAGGCGATGAGAAACACAGAAAATAAATAAAAATGCTGCCCTAACTGGATGTGAAGAAAGAGTGCAAACATTAATAAAAGGATACTACACTGAACAGAGGCTCACATTCCTCCATCAATACTATCACATACCATTGCACATTTCAATCCTTGAGATTTAAACAACTTGCATATCAACTTGTTTGAGTGGCATGGTTACATACCTGGAAGTAGACATTTGTGATGTTTAAAACAACAAACCAGTGGAGCATGTAAGGATTTTCAAGTCCACTGCCTCCAGAGAACAATGAACAATGGAGGTTCTATGTTATTTCAACCACATGGGTCATACAAAATGTTAACTGGTAAATAGATGGAATACATCCACAAACCATTCCCAAGGTAAAAACAAAATACATAGCATAGTTTCGTTCTTACTTTTATTTCATAAGTCATATGTATACAATAAAGTTCAATAAATATACACAAATATCACAAAATGATATTGTCAACACTGTCATGTACAAGTATCAGGTATCACTATTTTATTTTATTAGTTCATTTACATTAATATTACATACATAAATTAAATAATAATATACACAAAGCATGATTAACATTGCATTCAGTACTTAGCACTAGGTCTACTGCATCACACTTCAAAGTCACACACTAAATGTCAGTTCACTGTAACTTCATTAGATGCGACACGGCATCAGCGTAAACCATGACACTCATGGCACCATCTCGGAGTTCTTGCTTCAGAGTCTCTAGTCTTGAGTTGACATGGATGTACTTCCTCCTTTTTGGTGGCGGTTTCCTCCCAGCAGCGTACTGAACAAGCTTGATTTCGTTCAGTTTCTGCTCTTTCCTGAGGAAAGACAACATCTCGAAGACATTGGGGTGAGCCTTAGAAATAATTTTCTTAAGGCGACCATGCCAACCTTCCAGGTGGTTATTGGTTCTTGGACCGGTGTTCTGGTAGTGGTTCCACGCTGTCTGGGGTATATGTCCTTCCACCCACTGGGTGGTCACGTAGTCGGCGAGACGGAGGCAGCGAGGGTCGTCAGGCATGTCTGCAAGTGCGTTCAGCCACACGTCGTCTACCTGGAAGCACAAGATTATTTTATGAATACATAATTTGTGATTATTGATCATCAGCCGCGAAGTACACAAAATGAATGACATAGTTTAAGCATAGTAATATATGATTTATAATAATAAAATCCGATTCCAATTCAGGCGCAATGCAATGCAATACTTACATCTGTCACGGGCACCAAAGGCAGTACAGCAGCACGCCTTACGAAGCGGGTGATGTCTTCGTCGTGGTTGTAGTCGCCCTGAAGGCCAACCCCTTGTGTCTTCTTCCACACACACTGTGTGTAGTGGAATAGACACCCCTCCACAGCGTCGTCGGGAAGTTGACGGAGACGGCATTCTTCGCTGCAGATTCGAAGTCCATCTGGAATGATTAAAATGTGGAAATAATGAATACGTTTACCATGTTTTACAAATAATGATAAGTTAATTGAATAAATTATTATATAATTAATAATAATGAATAACTACATGAATACTGACTATCATTTATTAAGAGTTATGTAAATCAATTTACCTGGATGTGTTGAGGTGACATCTGAAGTCCTCTTGCTTCCACTGCTTCCTTCAGGAGACGGAAGGCGCGGTCGTAAGTAACAGTCGCCTTGTCTGGCAGCAAGAAGAAGACCAGCGGAAACATCTGACCACCAACCATAGCATGGAGAGTGTACAGCTGCAGGAAGAGTGATGGTGAGACATAAAGGTTCCGTCACCATACACAACTTCGGCAGCACAAAGATGTTGCATGTTCACCGTTGTCGTCATGCCAAGGATCTTATCGTCGTCGCCATCGTTGATGATGACAAAGGGCTCGCCAGCGTTGGTTGTTTTGAACTCGTCTGGGATCACGATTTCTCGTCGGGAAGATGGGATGGGTGGGAAGGTGGATCTTCGGGCCTGGTACAGTCTGTTCTTGACGGTGTCGTACGTCGGCATTTCTGCGATGAACGACCTGTTCTCTTCCGTCCAAGGACCATCGCTCACTGAGGCCAGAACCTCGTTGTACAGCGTCGGTATCGGACCCAGAGATGACTTGGCCACCATCTTCATCCTGTCCAGTGTCTCTCTGACCTGTAAATAAGATATAACCAAAATTAATGTAATGTTATGGCTGCATAAATCTAATGAAGTGCTTTTCGAGCACATTTGTCTAAAATTGTGCAAATAATGAACAAATGTAGCAGAGCTTTATACCATTTTAATATTATAATTTATAGATACATTTACGCACAACATACCTTTATCTCATTATGGACAGGTCCATGGTTATGTGGGCTGGGATGCTTGGTGATGATGTCGTTCACAGTAGAGACAGTCGCAGCACATGTCTTCTCCTGGCATCTCCAAGATGCCCATGAAGCATCGTTGCGTCTTCGATTCAATCGAAACACAAAGCCTTCAACAACTAGATAACGTCCACCACGTGAAGTCGGGAGAAACTTATAGTCTAACTGCTGGTTTGCCATTTTTGACAGTGATAGATTCTTGGTGGAATTACCATGATATATACCCAGTGTGAGTTTATATCAATCAATCTAAATTTTCTTAAATAATATAGTTAATTTGTGAGTTGATATCAATCAAATAATCATAATTGTGTTATTTGTCATTTAACTAGTGAGTTCATATCAGCAACTATGTTCATAGTTAGAACTAGTGAGTTCATATCACTAATTAGTGAACTCCGAGTTCACTCACCAGTTCAAGTTTTAGTGTCACCCATCTCATTAATCCTTTAAAACAACATGTATCTACCTCGGCCGAACATCAAAGGATTTTTACTGTAATAACAAATGTCTACTTCCAGGCAGGTTCCACATTGTCCACATTTCGCAGTCATTGATATTCTTTCTGGAAAAATCATTGTTTTTACCATTAGATATCTGATGCGATTAATTTCTTTTACTTGAGCCATATGTTCATGTGTCTTTTCAAGCTACCAACTGGCTTGACTTCGCATGTTTTGTGACTCGTGCTACCTTGTTGGGAACACCTGATTCAATCACTATTAAAAGTGATTCATACCCACATTCTTATGATATGGTTGGGACCGTAGCGTGGACTTTGAGCAGAATTTGTGGAAAGGGTTTTGTTGCTATCTCAGCGGATATTCCCTTTTGACATTAGTATGGCATTTTATCTTTCAATTTCCTCTACAAACGAGTTTCCAAACTCATCCTCTCTTAACAATAAAAATATAGAGAAAACTGACCCTGTGACCCACTTGCACTGTATATTAAGCCAATGTGCACTTCTAACCCGAATAATGATTTCAAAATTGATGGTACCTTGAGGAATAGGGGAGGTGAAATCAGAGACAAAGGTCAAAGTAATCAAACTTTACGGCTTTATTAGAAATGTTGCGATGGCATGCAGATTCACGCTCGCTTGGGAAGCACAAAACATCGTAAACGGATATTTCAAACCGAGTTGGTGAGAAACTTTTAGAGCACTAATTTCTAATGAAGGGCAATGAAAATCCAATGAAGCCATTACATGATGTTACCAATGATGAGGGAGTATGTCATAAATTGGAACATACAACATAAAATATGTCCCATGTGAAATTAATGTTTAATTTCCGGTGCTTCAGTTGAGGAAATTTCATGATAATTTCGCTTGGGACACATTACCACCGACTCCGACAAAGGGCTGCATTAGTCATACAATCACTTTTTTCCATTCTAATAAGAGTGTGTATATATAAAAAATGGAAAGCGACTACAGACAGGATTGAACGCCAGATGTATGGTTGGAAGGGGGAATAAAAATCTATAATCATGCTATCATTGAAAACTCATGAGCCCCAACTCAATTACCAAACAATGTCAGCACACTCACTCACTCATTTACCCATTCACTCACTCACATACTCAGTCAATGACACTTCTGAGGTCTTCACTCACTCGGGAGGCAAGAGTGACCCAATCGACTTAAATTGTGAGATGTATTGTTCAGATTAGCGTCTCTTGGTCATCCCAGGATTCGCTGATTCGGGTTCGAATCTAAGATTGACACTGATTATAATTCCCATACCATTTCGTGCTTTCTTTCAAAGTTACCTGTACACGCCATGAAAGAACCTGATCCACTTTTCAATGTGACAAAGATTGGCTACTCACTCGTCAATAAACTGAAATCATGATTCAATGGCATGTTGACTGCAGCATGAAATAACATCGTTTATCCCATGCTGAAGACATGGACCAGGTACAGTCAACTCAGCCTTCAGCAAAGATTTCATATGTCATCGAAATTGTAATGTGGATTTGTTTACAGCATGACGTCAGAGACAAGAAGACACACACGCAAGGACAGTGAGGGATGATATTGGAATAAGGTTGATTATTTATCAGTGATTGTAACAGAGGATTTTCACAGCCTGCCAAAGACACGGGAGGAATGGTGTGGACCGCGGGTGTGCTGCTGACATAGCCAATACACAAATGGAACAATCTGGGTCAACCCACGATCGTAGCCTTCTGGCACGCCTAAGGGGAGTGAGTGAAGGGCTTTTAAGCCGCTTTTAGCAATATTCCAGCAATATCACGGGGACACCAGAAATTGGCTTCACATATTGTACCCATGTTGGGAATCGAACAAGGGTCTTCGGCGTGACGAACGACCGCTTTAACCACTAGGCTACCCCACCACCAGGCACGCCTGAGGAAAAGAACTCGATTAGAATATTGGGCCACCGGTATCCCGAAGTGAAGACTGAACGTGAGCAGTATGTCTCGTCCCGCCGCCATCGGATGACATGAGTCCGGGTTGTGGCGTGAGGTAACAAATGCTTCCTTTTCAGTAAAACTCCGTGAGTAGCGGATGTCATCAAGAAATCATTACACGCTTAGCTTTTTCGCGAACACCTGGTGTCAACATTGATTTCCCGTGATCCATTCCTTTAACTTACCTGACTATTTGGTTTCTTGTGCCCATTGAATCTGTTCCCGTAGATAATTGAGACGTTCTCTGGCGTTGACCCTTTGAATGGGTAAAGAAGATGGACTTACGGCTATCGACGTGGACACAAATGAAGCATGTGTGTATGTAATCGGCTGGAAAATACCATATGGACGGAGTCTTATATGAGGTGCAATGGGTTATAGCCTCGCGTTCTAGCTTATTGCGCTTATATAATATAATAAGGCCACTTATATAGCGATGAACTCCACGCCACACGTACATGCTGCTAAGAGAATATAAAATAATGGATATTATTACCCCAGGATAACCCAAGCCGTAAGGCGCTAGAAAGTTTATAGTCATATGACTTATCCCACCGGGAACCCATTTTCTGTGGGTGTTTCGGTGCGGGGCAGGACAGAAGTCCTAGATATTCTCAGCGGTCAAGCTGCCAAACACGATTACTCATCCAAGGATTCTCCGTGACCAACGTTGCTTGACTTCAACTGATTTGTGACCTGGGCCCTATACACAGGACCGCACACTCAAACGTGCACGCACGTGTTTGTCTGTATGGGTGAGTGAGTGAGTTTAGTTTAACGTCGCTTTTAATAATATTCCAGCAATATCACGACGGGGGACACCAGAAATGGGCTTCACACATTCCCCATATGGGGAATCGAACCCGGGCCTTCGGCGTGACGAGCGGATGCTTTAACCACTAGGCTACCCCATCGCCGTGTCTGTATGGAGTAGAGGGGTCCGTGTGTGTGCGCGTACGTGCATGCGTGTGTGTGAGGCTGCTTGTACTAGTCCTGACTAATGCTGTTTTATAGCTATCGCCCTCTGAGATACCCCGCCACAGTTTAACATAAATGTCAAACACAGACACGTTAAAGAAGAATAATGACAATTATTATGGATATACAACTTCTTTTTTTCTGTGGAAGCGACGTTTCGACATAGGTTCTAATGTCGTTGGCAAGCAAGTGACGACATTAGAACTTATGTCGAAACGTCGCCTCCACAGAATAAAAGAAGTTGTATATCCATAATAATTGTCATTATTCTTCATCAACTCACTTCTAAAATGCCCATCAAAGAAAACAGACACGTTAATCTGACCAAAAGCCGAGTAGTCGTTGTATCCCCCTAATACCAGGAGGGGTAGCACTCTGTAAAGCAATCGGGGATCGAACCGTTTCCACTCACCAGACTCACCATCCATTACACCACGGAGAGACTGTAAATTACAACACCGCTGCTTTACGTTGAACACGTTTTGTAATCAATAAGTGCTATTAACAACAACAACAAAAACAGATTTCAGTTAAAAATGCAACATATTATATGGATAATGTTAATCAATAACATTAACAAATTATATATTATCCACCAAAACAGAGAAATATAATGTCACATTCAAATACATACGTTTTTCCAACTTCAAACAATCAATAAAATGAAGCGGCTGTATAGTAATTATTGACTCAATTTATTTCCGATTACCAACTGTGAACATCCACAAGGCTGTTTCGCGTTTTTCATTAATAACGAAATTTTAAATTGAATTAGAACCTGCAGAACAGCGTTATGCTGAAGGGAATGCGTCATTGTTGATGTATTCATCAGTGAGGCTTCATCTCTTACTTCATCTGTGTTTCATCTGTGCTCCCTGTGTTCATGGTTTTCACCAAAGCGGTGGAAGAAAACGATAGCCAAGTCGTTTAATGAAGGCGCTACAAATTGACGTGCATGTCCAGTCGTGCTAGAATCATGATCGTGTGTTTGCATCGAAACTAGTATGTATGGTTGGTAATACGTCAGAGCCATACCCATGCATCACTTGGGACTCTTCTCTCATATCAACCTGACACGCCGTGATGTAACTGAAATACATTTGAGAGCATGTAAAACCCGGGGCAGTGGGGTCCCCTAGTGGTTATAAAGCGTTCGCTCGTGGCGCCGAAGACCCGGGTTCGATTCCCCCCATGGGTACAATGTGTGAAGCCCATTTCTGGTGTACCCCACCGTGATATTGCTGGAATGTTGCTTAAAGCGGCGTAAAACCATACTCACTAAAACCAAACTCACTTACTCATCTTGCAAACGATACAATCCACACTATTATTAATAATATTCCCGATTTATACGTCACACAAGATAATGCATACATGATACAAGCCAAACTATTATCAACAGATTTCGCGAATTACACGTCACACACGATAATGCATGTACATGCATAATGCATGGAATAAAATGATTCAAATAAGGTTCAATATGAATGAATATAATTTGTACCTTGAATAAAGTATATTTCAGTACACATCACGATGGCACATACTCGACTTATAGGATCACGATTTTCATGTGCATGTTGAGGTAGGTCGCTGTTTCAACAACGACGCATTTTAATGTGGATAGCATACCATGATTCTCAAATAATCAGGTGAGCATAAGACACTTTTTTATCATAAATAACGCTTAAGCGATGCTAAAACTTAACACCTGCTTGCTGCAAAAGGGAATGGCGTTTAACGAAGCTACTAGATATTTT